CACAATATGAGAAATATCAAATGAAAAAATTACCTTTGTCTTCCGGAGCATAGTCGGATGTTGAATTTTCCGTCAGGCAGTCAGAATCCAATCCAAAACGCCAATTAAACTTCAATTAGCTAAAATCGACGCACAAGCGTCCACACGAGGCTTGTTTTTCCAAGGAAATGATGGCTTCTCAAGCCAGCGCGCCGAGACGCCGCGCATCTTTTTACTAGGCAGATTTGTTAAAATTACAATGCATTTAGTAATTTCAACAAATCTACCTAGTAAAAAGGTGCGCGGCATTTCGGCGCGTTGGTCAGAGAAGCCATCACTCTAGGTGGATTTGTTGAAGTTACAAAGCACCTAGTAGATTTAACAAAGTATAGCTTTGCTAAATTTGTAACGAACTTTCCGCACATCACAAGTGTATAATATAGAGCCAAGCATTCCTTTATGAATATAAACCCGTTTGAATTGAGAGATTGTTTTGTGTAGTTTTTTTCTCCAATTTGATAACTTTTACCCTAAATAAATAATTGTTAAATCTATATTGTCAACAATCATTTTTGAAGAGTTTCAAGTTATAAATGTAAAATTATCAATGTTGAATACGTTAATGTAATTTAATTTAATCCAGGCAGTTTTGCAATTTTAAAAAAAAAATTAAAAAGGTAAAAATTAAATATTAATTAAACATAAATAACGATGCCCAAATTATTACGATATCTGAGATATACATTATAAATAACAACATAAAATAAATTAGATAAAATATTTCTTCTCTTAATCTCCTCCTTAACGTAAATGAATACAAAAGTTATATAAATGTAAAACGATTATATTTTTAATTCTTTTTATCAAAACAAAATATCATTTGACTTGCTAAGTACAGAAACCAGATAAAAATTTTTAAATATATAAAAAATTTGACGAAACATGAATGGTTCCCGCTTTTAAAATTCAAAATAAACCAGGAAAGCTTGCTACTTTGACTAGTTTACCTTGCAAAGATTTTGGCTACAAACCTGAGTTTGATAAAAGCACAAGGTATTGGAATGTTAAATCGGATCCAAGTAAATATCTCTGTGATATTTACTACTCAAAATATGTTATTTTTACAATTTTCGTGTTGTAAAAATAACTATTCTTTTGCCTAGTAAAACGAACCAGGCATGATTTAGAGCTTTTTACACAGTTACTCTGTTAATTTTACAAGGTAGAAATAGTTGCTGTGCAGCGTAACAGAGCTACCTAGTAAATTTCGCTAAGTTACCTTGCACCAAAATTTTACTAGGCACGAACTTGTTGATTTTACTATCCGCTTAGTAAAAATAACTGAATTTTAATAGTTAAATTTACTATAGCCTAGTTAGATTTGAGTCAACTAGGTAAACCTTGCATTTTATTTTCTCTGTGTAGAAAACACTATTAATTATTTAATTATTTTAATATGTAAGAATCGGGGCAAATCTCTTTTTAATTCGCTCAAGATTAACCTTGCAAATAATTTTGGTATTATAATTTTTACCAACCAGTATAGAAGTCTCTGTGTGTAAAATATAGTTTTAATTTATAATTGTTTATAATTGTTTATAATGGTTAATATTTTCATTCAGTTTAGTATATTTATGTTTCTCTCTATATTTTTAATATTCATAAATTTTTTATTGGGTTTTTAACATTAAAAGAAATTGTGTAAATAATATAATCTTTTACAATTTTCAATTAAATAATTGTAAAATAATATCTATGAATTTAATGAACTTGTGAAATTATTCTTGGCGCGCATCTACATTTTAATATAAACAAATTGAATATAAAGTTACATACAAAATACTGCTGCATCATCGGTGGCTGTTAAACGCTCATTTCGCATAATATAGCGCTATGAGCGTAAAAGTTGCAGTTTTAGCGCGCAATATCGCGCGAATGGCGAAATCATCTCTACTCTTCCAAGATTATCTTCGGTCGTTTTGTCTCAAAAATGTATTTTTGATGTTGGACGCCCGGAAAAAACGAGATAGATAAGGCTTTTCCTCCAATTCACTCATTTTCATGCGAATGTTTTGATTGGCGTCGTGCGTGCGCCGAATATTGCGCTGCAATAAAGATCAGTGTCGCAGATAAACGCGCGACGTGCAATCAGTTGGCTCTGCACAATCAACCCTATAATATGGCTCTGCTCCCCCCACGGCCATATAATTCGCCGATGCGCCAATTTGTCACGGATGTTCATTCATCCAAATTAAACGTTATCTCCTCCGCCTTTGCAATTGCATTTATCGCGTTTTATTATAGGCTTGGATTGATATTATCAACAGAGGAGGGCAAAATTTGATAAACCCATATAAAAAGTACTATGAATATAAAAATTATTTAAATCTATGGTTTTTATTGGCAAAATTGGAAACTGATTTTTATATAAAAAAGGCACCACCACTATAGAAGCAAACATTTTGCCAAAACTTCCAATATCAAAAGACCCCATTCGCAGTATTGCTAATAAAATACCATTGTATGATGTGTGGACATTTTCAATTTTTTTAATATATCTTGATTTTGCAGAAAAAATGATTTTATTTTTAATATTGAAATTATCTAAGGATTTAATTAACATATTCAGTTCATTTTGTTTTCATAAATGTTCTATAATTGATTTAACCAACTGCTTGGAGTAAAGAATGCGGTTTTGTTAAAAGATGATTGCATGAAGTTTTTTTTTTGTATGCTACTCTGCGTCATAATTAAGCTGTGCTCTATGAAAACAGTCTGGCAACTTGATTGCTCGACTGTTTGTTCTCATCGGGTCCATGATGGCGAGAGCTGAAGACGCGTTTATGTATGCTGAACAGCGGCAGAAAACGAGATAGAGAGAGATGAAGCGTGCATTCAGGGCGCATGATAATGGAAGTGCCATGAGAAAAGCAATATCGCGCTCGCAGCAAAGCTGCTCTCCCTATAGCTCGTTTATATATTTTTGCGAAGAGAGTGGAGAGAAGCTGCGCGTCGTAAAAATACGTCTCCCATATTTCTTATTCCTCGGCGCTCATCTTCTTTTTATATCCGACCTTAGAGGAAATGAATTGCTTGGTACAATAAATTGGCCGACGCTCCGCAGATCAATAAAGGGCTCGGAGACTCTGGAAGGGATGATCTTCTGGAAAGCTACATACAATAAGTTCTGAACACAAACTGAGTAGCAAAATTACGTTGAGAAGAAATCAAACTCGAGCTCGAAACTTATCTTTAAATAATAAGTTAATATAAGAGAAATGTTTTATTTGCTGGTTTTATATCGAATTTATTGTTTTAGAATCACTTTTTTACTTTTGCTAGAAAAAGTTTCGTCTAATTCATTACTAGTTTTTAAGTTTGTCAATGTTTTTTATATGAAAAGAGATAAAAACAAAAATTAAGCTTTAAAAAAAAAAAAAACTTAAATCTTTGCTTGATACAAAAAGACAATTAATTTATGTTTAATATTAATCTTTAAATTTCTATAAACAAATTGAATTTTATCATTTTTGCCATGGCTCCTTTGAATAAAATCAAATCTTGGAGCTTCCGAAATAAAAATTTGCCTTCAAAGATATATTGACTTTTTTACTCCAGCAAAGTCTCTTTGGCAGCGAGCAGGGCATGATGCGCCGATGATGCAGGCTGCGATATGTGTTGGCCGCGCTATGATGGTTGGTCGGCGCGCCCATGGAGGGGCTCAAAGGAGCCGCTGCCATTGGAGCGGTGCCCGCCATGGAGGACACATTTGACAAAGCGCCAGCCGCCCCATGATAGCGAGATTATGCTCGAAATACACGCACACGCCAAAAACAAAAAAAAACCGCCCGGCGCGGCACTGCTGATCTTCGATTTTTCAGCATTATTTATTCATCCTGAAGAAAAATATATATGGAGAGTCACACGTATAATGTTGAATACAACCCCAGCATCTCACTTGAAATCAAATCAAACATTATAAAAAATCACTCCAACCCTAAAATTCTCATGCTTGATGAAATTTATTCCAAACAGATTGTTCCGAGCAGGCTCTTATATACATAATTTGCCTAAGTGCTTCTAAATATTAGTAGGGAGGATAATTCCTTTTAATTAAATTGAGAGAGGAGGACCATTTGGAAACCCTTGAAGCAGCTTAAAAAAAGCAGGATATTTTACGAGTTGGACGCGAATGACATCCAAAAAGCATTTCAGCTGCGCCTCTTTAACTATGCAGCCTCCCTATTTCCATTATATGCAGCGAGAAGAGAACATCATTGCAGCGTCTTAAGAGAATCGGTCGGGAATGTGTCTTGTCGCCGAAATCGTCGCCATACGCCGCTTTTACTTCCTCTTTGAAAGTTCCGCCCGCCGACGGCTCCATTTGTGCGCTTCTTGTTTGACGACTTCTCAGCCAGTTGATGATGCTTCTTGTTTGTGGGAGAGCAGCAGCTCTGTTTCTTAATAGCCCTCTGACAGCTTGATGACTGTCAATTATTTTCTGTTTACTTTGGATTCGGTCCAAACCAATTGTGTGATTCTTTTTTTACATCAAAGTCTCTCTGATGTCTGACTTTCGTCTGTCATTATTTTAAAGTTTCTCGTTTCGTTCGATCATTGAAACAGCGAGATCAATAATTTATAATGCTCAAAAGATTTCAAACCAAATTATATAATAAAAAGAAGACCAAGGAAAGTTTAGAGCTGGTTTAGAGAAGTCATTTTTGGGTATTACTCAAATATAATTTGGTTTATTATAATAATAGCGTATATAGCTCCAATTAATAAATTCCAAGAATTAAAACTTCTTTAAAAAGTGCCAAAATGACTGCAGCAGGCGAGACTATAAGTGTATAGAGGTCTCTTATAGCGTCTCTTAGCGTAATATTATAATTACTGGTTTACCAAAAAGTGCCTAAATATGGATTAAATTCAATAAATAATATCAAGGTTTTTCATTTCAGATCATTTTGGACTCTTCAAATATATGCAATCTTAATTGAGATGTGTTGAAATTACAGATTTTTACACAGTAAAAACTTTCCCGAGATTTGAATGGAATGATGTTCAAGATCTTGCATCGCAGGTTGCATACTCGCATCTTAAAAGGCGCTTACACCTCTGGAAGAATTTAATGATTTTTTGCTGGGTAAGTTTAGATTTATGGAATATATGGATAGCTGATCTGAATAGGCGAGTAAAATGAGAAAAATTAAAACGGTTAATTAATTGAAAATGAAATAATATAATATTATGAGCATTTTAGTATAAATCCGTATGTGATTTTTAATTTGGCAGTGCAGGAACTTAAAACTTCTGAAACATTATGAATTAAAGTTTTCAAACTAAAAATAAAAGAAAGATTTTAGATTTTTTTCTCACATCCCTTTCTCTTTCCCTTCTTGTTACACAGTCATCATCTCTGCAGTTCTCCCTTCATCTTCCATTATTTTCCTGGTCTCTTAATGCAATTCATTTCATGCAGCAACAAACAACATCCCGACGAGAAATAACACTAAGGAGATGCAAACTCGGTGCCAAAAGAGTCCTGAACTGCCAGAAAGCCAAGAAAGAGAAGCGAAAAATTCTAAAAAAAAATTGTATGAATAAAATCTCGAGGCCGGACGATAAGTGCCCATAATCAAACAAAAACTTTTTCTTCGTTTCCTCCACATCAGTTATTGACCGGCTCGGAAGAGATTTTCGAATGCGCCAAGAGAAGAAGCCCCTGGAAAGTCGGCAGCCAGCAGGGCTTTATCAAATGAGATCTGGCGCCATCGAGCAATGTGCTATCATGCCCAATGATCAGAGGCGTCGCATCCGCAGCATCCAGCGCTCGCCCTAACATCATCGCAAAAACGAAATCGACCCTTTTATGTATGCGCGAGAGTCAGCCAAGTCGAGCCAGTTTCTTTATCGCGGCGGCGGCAGCGCCACAATTATATCAGAATGCCCAGCGCGTTTTATGGACCAGCAAGGAAAATGAAAGTTTATTGCGCTCCGAAACAGCTTCCTCTCTTTAAGCCGCATTTGATTATTAGACTTATTAATGCATAAATAATATAACTGGAGCAGCGCGTATAAAAAATTTTGAGACAGCCACAATATTTCCTTATTATGCGAGTGTAATGATTTGAAAGTTTCGCCGATTTACCGGATTTAGACACGCTCCAATCAACGTAATAAAATAATCATCAAGTTTTTCGTAATAACCACTGAATTATTCAAAAAGAAGAAAAAATTCTCAAGGTAATAAAGTATTTGAAATATATTAATACACGTAAATTATGTTTTTAAAATGATAACTCTTTTATTCGAGTTTTTTAAACTATACATATAGTCACATTGATCGGACATTAAACATTAAATCCTTTACAAATACGAAATTTTCTCTGTACAATAATTAACACTAAATGCATTATTTAATCAATCAACGGCCGGGTCAATATTGACATATACAATCAAATGATATTCACAATTTTCAAAAACACATTCTCTGTAGAATTAACTCATCAAAATTCTTTTTACAAACTAAAACGAATATCTATATATTTTTTTGTACAAAAGTAACTTTGTTTGAGGATTCCTCTAAAGTGCGCAGTGAAGCAGCACCCACTTAAAAATAATTGTATACAAATAATTTTTACAGAAATTTTGAGTAAACTTTCTTGGCGCTGGCTGAATTTTAAACAAAAGATTAAATTTTAATTTAAAAATAATTTATTTACAAAGGATTTTGAGTAAACTTTCCTGGTGCTGGCGATTATACTTAAATTAAAATTAAACGATAGGTTTTTGCATAGGACTAATATAAGAAAATTGTGAGTAAACGTTCTTGGTGCAGGCGTGAATTTAAAAACAAAATCTTAATTAATCTAAAATGTTGGCGTTCAACAAGAAAAAATCTTATTCTTAAATTATTCACAAAGAATGTACAGCAAAAAGTAGAGTAAACTTGCGTGGTACTGGCGTTTGAGATTACAAACTACAACCTTAATACAAAGGAACTAACAGTATTAATATTAATGTTTCGCTGACTAAGCAAAGTGAACGAACATGCTATTTACACGGTAAGTAGGTTTGCGCCCGGTGGCTTCAAATCAAAGTTTCCGAAGAACTAGAGTCTACACATATTTAAATCTAAAATTCAATAATTCAACAATTTTCTATCAAATAATTCAATCAAATTCAGGATCAGGATCTCTTTCTCAGAAAGAATAATAAGAAGAATTAAAACTAAAAGTTGTCTTTAGGCGCGTTCGGAAATGTCCGACTTGTACGGCTGGAACAGTTGGTGCTGCGTTCTGGTCGGCGGGGTCGTTTCGGTGATGGTGGTTGGGGGCGTCGTCGGACTGGCGAGGGGGCTGTTCGGGGAGGGCGACAACCGCAAGTCGGAGGGGATCTTGATGGCAGGGAAGGGCGGCAGGGTGCTCTGGCCTGAGAAGAGGGGGCACCGGCAGGTGGCGGGGTCGTTGTGCGTGCAGAAGGGCGCCTCTCCAGGTGGGGTGAGCGACGTGGGTCGCAGGAAGGGCGCGGCCCCCGCCCCCGGAAGCATGGGGGCGGCGGGCATGCCCGCAGGGCTGGCGGGCTGCGGCCTCAAAGGGTAAGGAGCGTACCTGAGGGCGTGGTAGTAGGAATAGGGAGCGTAGCCTGAAGAGGCGGCGGCTGCTTGGAGGAGGCTGGCGGCGAACGCAGGGTCGGTGTACATGGCGTAGGGCCACGCCAGGGCCATCCGTTGACGTTTGTCTTTCATTCGACGGTTTTGGAACCAAACCTGAAGCAGAACAAATATGGAAAATTATAGCAAAATAACATTTAAAAGAGTTTTTGAAAAGTAAAAATAAAAGATAAAAGAAATATTAAAAAATTAGCTTAAATAATTTTAATCAAAACTTTTTGTAGTTTCAAATATGAATAATTACTAATAATTGTAACATTGCAATATCAGCCATTAAATTAAAGAAGAAGAAAAATAGCCAAGAAATAAAATAATTAATGGAAATCTTTGGCAATAATAAATACTAGATAAAATAATGAATTGGATTTTTGGCACTAAATTTATAGTTAAATATTATTAAAAACTTTCTCGTCAGCCGTTTAAAAAGGTTAATTATTATGGAATAATTTCTTTTAAATATTTGATAATTATTGTATCTGATAATTTTCAAAAGATAGTGAATTTTTATATTTATATAGATTCATTTCGTGAGCTTTTCCCCGCATATCCCGAAAAAAGATTTTTATAATGACGCGCATCTTATGATTTCAAAACGAGAAGTGCAACTGTGCGTCTTCATTAGCATACGCGCGGCTATACACGCGGATTGAATAAAAAAGTTTTTTTATTGTTCACGAGCTGTAGAGGATACGAGCAGGTGCGCGTTTGGAGGGCAAACAGAAGGTGCTAACTGCGCGATATTGAGCCGGCGAGTGAGAATTAAACAGCAATCATGAGTGTTGCGGCGCGGCGTCGGCGTCCGCCTTTGACAAAAACGCGGTGCTAACTAAATAGCCCTCGGGTGCAGTGCTAAGTAAGTACAATTTAATCCGAGCGTCCATCATTTCCATTAGAGGCGAGATGTTAAGAAATCATCCAATGTGTGTGGCTTTTTATTGTTTTTTCCTGTTCTTTCAACACCGCAAGCCGCGCGTCATTGACCCACCCCCGCGCGCAACACGAAAATTGCATCACCGAAAGTTTTTTGTTTCTTTGACATAAGAAATAGGAGTAAAAACCCTCCGACAGAAAGAACACTGCATAGATATTATTTATAATTTAATTCCCGTGATTACATTTTAAAAAGTTTTTGAATCAATTCAACATTCAAATAATTCAGGCTAAAAGATATGAGGAAAGCTCAAATATTTACAATATTATTTTTGAATGGCGATGTTTCTATTATTCATTATTAATTTAAATAAAAAGAAGAAAAACTTAGAATAATAATTATCTCAATAAACAAGAGAATTATTTGAAAAATTTAAAGTAAAATATATGAAATAAATTTAAATGTAAATTTAAATTAAAAAATTTTATAAATTAAAATAAATAATTTAAAAAATAAGAACACATTAAAAATTATTATAATATGTGCAAAATGTTGTTTTGCCGCTATAAAGGGTGCGGGTTTGAAAGCACCTGAGCCCCTCGGTAGGCGGATAAAAGGCCATTTATCACCAGCGTGCACAGTGATTATTCACTCCCAGGCCTTGCAGAATAATCTGGCTATTATAAACTCTGCGTTCATTCATCATGGTCTCTCATTTAAACACGCCGAGCAGCGACCGTTCGGCTGCATCATCGCGGCTTGCGGAGGGCGGGGAGAGGAATTATTGATTGCCTCCGCACCGATTTCTCAGCGGCCAATTGAATCTGCCGAATTAATTTCAATTTAAAAACGCCCGTTGTCCGCAATTAGAGATAAATTACGACCGTTTCAAAGCAATTATTTTGCAAAAAAAATTAATACTTTTCAAAAGTGATATAAATAAATAAATTTATAAAAAAATTTATCCGTAAGGACAGTAGGAAGCAATGAAAAAGAAAAAGTGAAAAAAAAAACATACTTAATTCCAGCTTAATTCAAAATAAAATAAGAATAGCACACCTGGAGCAACTTCTTTTATTAATTAAATTAACTTTTTTATCGAAATTATCATTTTTCGTTGCTTTGAATTTTGCTTCAATGAACATAATTTCCACAACGGATATTCAAAATTCAAATAAGGGAAGATTTTGTAAAAAAAAAAACAGGGCTTGGAATTTGAGCCTACCTTGATGGTGGATTCTGGGAGGCCAAGTTGTGCAGCGAGTTCGCATCTTCTCGGCCGGGACACGTAGTTCTCCTTGAAGAATTCCTTTTCGAGTCGGCCGAGCTGCTCCCGCGTGAAGGCGGTGCGGTACCGGCGGATGCTCTGCTCTGCCGCCGCAGCAGCCGCGGCCGCGGCGGCCGCCGCTCCACTCTGCAGGGTTGGCGAACTGTGGCCCGGAGGAGTCGGCGATCGACCTCTGGATTCTGAAACAGCAGGAAACGAAATTTATGATTTCGATCGAAATCAAAAGGAAAATGCCGCCTTCAGTTACAACAATTTTATTGCAAAAAAGGGCCAAGGGATGATTTATTTATTTATAACAGGGGCAGAGTTTGTTTGAAGTTTGAATACCGGGACTGATTTGTGTCCGGTCGGACAAACAAAACAAGCAAAGCGATTCTAGCCGCGCGGTGGAACGAATTCTGGCCGACCTTTCCCACGAAACGCGCGTCCCATTGTCAAGCCCAGCAGACATACACATTTCACGCTGCAGAGGGAGACGCAGCTTATTATTTTGTCTTGTTGCGACCACTTTGGTGCGTGTTTTTCAATAAACAAATAAATCTCACAGGGCAAAAGAGAAATCTCGGCCGTTGAAAGGCGACGCGGCAAATTACGAGGGTGGTTATGTGGAAAAGAAAAGGACCGTCTGAAATCTTTAGAAATTTTCAATCTTAACGGCAAAAAAGTAAAAGGTTCCCGTTTACAAAATTTTACTCTTCCTGTTAATTTTAAATAAATATTGAAGTTAAAATCACAGTTTGTTAAAATCCAAATATATTACTTTTAAGATTTAATTAAAGGTTAATTCTATAATCTCCTATTAGAGGACATATTTCCATCTACAATGACCTATAATTCACCTAAAAAAATATATTAATATTAAAGTTTAAATCTGATAATAAATAAAAACTGGCAAAACTAATTAAAATAAATAAAAATTAAACAAAAATGAATCTAAATATGAATTTGGCATTTCAGTCTCTATTTCTTTATTCAAAAATAAGAGAGCTGCAGTTTTGTGAAGGAGAAATATTATGACGAGAGCATCTTCTCGTCAGTGGCGTCGGCGTTTTATCAAAGAGCAGGCGTTAAGAAAGCGCTAATTGCTTCGGCTAATAGGCGCAGTCTCAGTTTTTTCAGCGACGCCAACGCACTCAGGAGCGAAAAAGGCGACAATTGGAATATAAGTGGCATTGGGGATGAGGCGACACGCAGGCACCCGTCTATGAGAATAAGTGGATCAGGAAGCACCGTCGAGAGGCAGATGATGAGTTTTTTAAGAGAGAGGCGCCGCGCCACTTAATGACTCAGGCCAAGCGCCAAGTACAAGCGAAACGAAAAGTGCACTAGACGGAAATTCGACAGAGCCGCAGATGGCTCTTGTTAAAAAAATCAACACATTGTTTCCTTTTATAAAATGAAGATTGATTATAAAAAAAATCAAAATGTACTTGAAAATGATGAATAATGGCAAAACATTGATACAAGGAAAGCAATAAACGAGATTGGTATCGCGTTGATGTCATTTTCAGACGCGACATGAGCATCAAAATTAAAAGCAGAGGCTGCACTTCTTGTCCTAAATGCTCTTGTGTAACGTTTTGTTTTTGTTCTAATCTGAATATCATCTCGACACTTCCTGGCGTCTCGGTTTCGAGCAATTTTCTGGAGAGGCGAGCAAGCGGATTGAATGCAAATGATTGTATGTGCATGCTCGAGTAAATCGGAATCAAAATGGAAAAAATCGCGCCCCGGTGGCATAAATTAATTTCTAGAACGTGCCAAAGTACCGTGTAATTACACTTAAGGTGTACATATTTAATCCGTAATTGAAGGTGTTTAGAACAAATAAATTGCTTTGAATCGAAACGTGGCCGGCCGAGCGAGACGCATTTGAATAAATAAATATAAGTCGACCCCCTATTATCTCTCTCATCTCTCCTAATAATTCATAACTTTTCTCTCCAATGTGAAGAGATAACAAAGACAATAATATTCGAGCACAAAAGCGTCCATTATTTATCTGTTATTGCGGCCAGATGACATGGGAATGTGCCGCTTTTATTAATTACAGGTAAATGGTCTTGTTTTTAGCACCGCGGCCGCGAGATTAATATAATTAGCACTTTGTTCAACATGCAGCTCTCGCGTTTCTTTCACGCACTCAATCAAAACATTCCCTCGTGCGTGAATTATGTGAGATGCCATTTGTTCTATTAAATGCTTCCGATAATCATCTTCTAAATTTTAAGAATGTTCTATTTGAATAAAGAATCACAATTCACTTCACGAGCACCAAAAAGGGCCACTATACTAATTAATTTTTGCATTTCTTGATATGATTCTAGCAAGGACCACAGCAGTTTATATATATTTTAATAAAATAAATTAATTTTCATTATATTTCTCTTCAACATTGTTGAATTTTTCTTGTTGACAAATTGAAAAAATGCCAACAAATTTTAATATTTAAATTAAAATTTATTATTAATATTAAACAAACACTTGAATATGTTTTAACGTCAGAAAATTTTTAAATTAATATAAAAATTTAAGAACAGTAATTTAAAGTATTAAATTTACTGTTAAATATAATTATGAAACAAACTTCGAAATTTTTCAGGATGTGGACCGATGTTTAAAAAAACTGCAGTGTTTAATTTCCAAAAAGGGATTGACAATAAGTGAAGAGGCGTCTGTCGCTAAAAAGGCTGTTTTTGTCGTCGCGCCCAACGCGAAAAAAGTATTATTTACCCTCCATCCCGCAGGACAAGGTTTGGCGCATCAATTAGAGGGTGTTTTCGTGACCACAGGGGGCTTGTCTGAGAAGGAATTAAAAAAAGGCGAGGGGTGCGCGCGTTGGCGCCACCGCTTGCTGCAATGCACCTGCGGGGTGGTCCGTGCGCGACGACAGACCACTTGAATTTTTTCCACCGGCGTCCGCGAAGATTCTCTCTTTCCCACCGAGGATTAAAAACATCCAGGAAAAAAGTAGCGGCTAATATGTGTCTCAGTTTTTCGAGGATTTCATTAAACTAAAAGGAGCAAATTGCTCTCTCGCGCGCGCAATAAAGTAATTATTGCATATATGTAAATATCTACGGACCGAAAAATCAGAGAGATTTCTCTGCTGGTCAGTCCAGTCATGAATCGCTCGCGGCCGTGCAAATGATCCCGAGAGCAGAATTGTATTCAAGAAGGCGCGGCAATAAATTAATTTTTCGCTAATAAAATAAGCAGCGCGGCTGTGCGGCTGTAAAATTGCCACTGAAAATAAAAAGAGAGGCAGTTTGCGCCGCCGGCGCACGCAAATGAAATGCTCGAAATTTCGCAAAATCGTGCCAAGCAAAACGATTAGTTCGAATTAATGAGTCCGTTTGCGAAAAAGACCGGTTGCGTCACGAGAAAAGGGTTTAAAAGCGGTAAAAAAAACTGACCTTTGGGGTCTCCCTTGGAGAGGAGGTGTGCGGCCGAAATCTGCGGAGGAACTGAAGGCGGCGGTGTGCCTGGGGGTGTGTGCGACCCGTTGTACATTGGAGGCACCTGCCAGCACAAAACAAATTCATGCAAATGATGTTAAAAAATAAGGATTTTTAAGCTTGATTATTAATTAAAAATTATTATATGAGAAAAAATTATTTGGGAATTTCTCAAAATTTTGAAAAAAATTAATCTTATATTTTAAATTTCTAAAGCAAATAGGAGCTTTTTCGGCAATTATTGCAGAAAACAATTAGCAATTTGAACCTCCATCGATTTAAAAACTTGAAAATTTTTAAAGATTTTACAGGTTTCCGTAATTTTAAAAGTAATTTCCTTTTTTAAATTAACTCTTAAATAATATTTAAAACTATCGCAAAAAGCCACATTTGAAGTAATTTACTTAAGTGAACCCCCAAAAGTTCTCTTTTTATGCTACTGAATTTAAAATTTGTATCTTGAATTAATTAAAAATTTATTTCTTGAAAAATTCTAGTAGAAATTTGAGTTCTATCTGTAAATTTTATGGAATTATCTTTTTAAAAATGTTATAAACTTTTTTTAACCTTAAATAAAAACTGTGCCTATCTTAAATGGATTATTTTGTAAATTTGAAGAGAAAAAACTGAAAATAAAACTATTATTTTTCACTTACCGGGTGGTGCATGGAAAACGGTGGTGACGGTGGCGCCGACATGAGAGGGTGCTGCCGGTGCATCTGCTGTCTGATGGCCATCTCGAGCTTGAGGTGCTCGGCAGCGGCCGACGTGTTGTTGTTGTTGTTGGTCTCGAGCCGGAAGGACTGCATGTTGCTGCCGTGTCCGAGTTCGGGAGCTGCTGGCGGAGAACTGAACGCAGCACGCTCGGCCGCGCCAGATCTCGGAGCGCCGAAGGCAGCCCTCCGCGCCGCCCATTGGCCCTCGGTGGCCCCGCCCCCGCGGCGCCGCGGCTCCAGAGGACGACCCTCGGCGCGAGTGATATCATCTGCTTCATTAGCGGCTGATTTATTGAGCGTTTTATCGCCGCCGCCGAGCGATTTGCATCCAGATACGGAGGCTCATCCAGCCTCCCTCTCATTAAATTATGCGCGCAAATAAGCGGGGCGGCGCTTTTTTTTAAACGTTTTGGCTTTTTATGCTTGAATTTATATTCAAACAATATGAATCGGTCACATATGAATTTTGATGGAGGGCTATGGAATGATTCTTAAAGAATATATTAGGCAATTAATTAACACACATTGTGATAAATTATTTTAATTTTAATATTCTAAGCACTAAAGATACCCATTAAACAATACAGAAAGATTAGAAGCGATTAGAAGTGTACAATATATTATGTTAACTTTTCAATGACTTACCATCACACGATGTAAGTATTTATAACTCATTATATCTTTTTTTCTTTTAATAAGTATAAAGCGTTTCGCTTCTTATATAAAAATAATCAATAAATTTCAATAATTCAAAAGGATAAATATTAAAATTATTAAATATCATAATATTCTGTTAATAAAAAACCATAAAATTTATACAAGTATTTTAAACAAATTTCTATAAGTATAATTTATTTATATAATAATAAACTTTTTTGTAAGTTGTAACTAAAGTATTTTGTAAGACATTTAAATCTTTGTGACTGAAAACGTCATGACATGTTTCAATGTGCAATAACTTGTGGTCTTTCTTGCAGGTCAATTTGTGGACTACGATTTTCATTGGGCTATTAATTGATTGATGAATGGGTGCAATAAACATTGCTAGAGGATCAATCGCAAGTAGGGTCAAAGAAGACCTAAATCACGAGCAAACCAATATAGTCCGGCACAAATCACAAGATTGGCGCTGCTTTTGTTTCGCACTCGCCATTAATAATCAACACCCTTATTTTTACCCGCCACACAACGGAAGCAAAAGTGTGTATAGGGGATCCGACGCTCGCCTTTCTCCGAAGTCAAATTAACCCGATTGCGCGACCAATAAATAAGCAAAGAGTGTTTGTTTCGCTTCGGCCGCAAGTTGGACGACATTGAGAGCTACTTTTACGGCCGATTAATTTATTTGTTTTTCACACCCCCTCACATATTATATGGCCAGCAGCTGTAAATGGTCCTCTCGCGTTCAGCTCGGATGCTGGAAAAGTTTAAATTACCCCCGTAATGGGGCTGCGGTCAACCAACTCGTCGAAGAGCAATAAAATTTATTGAACGCGCTTTCCGTAAATAAAATCTAAATCAACGCCGTGTTAGTTATGCATGCTACAGATTAATTAATTTGGATTTGGAAAAATTTCTTTCAAATCCAACAATAATTATGAAGTAATTAAAATTGAAAACAACTAAACACGAAAATTTGAGGGGGGCCTGATGAAAATGCATAGAATATTAAACCATTTAAAGTTTAAAAAGGATGCTTTAGTTGCAAATTCTCTCTTTGATTTAGAGCAATCCTATAGTAGTTTTGAAACTGTTCAGCAAATTAAAAATTCAATAAAGTGAATTATTGAGAAATGCTGTTGGAATGAAATTTTGAGGTTTGTCTACATAAACATTAAATCTTTTCTTTTCTAATATAAAACTGGAAAATTCAAATGTATAATGGGAAACAAATTTCTCTTTTTTAAAACTTTCTCTCCCTTTTCCAATTATAAAAGTTCATAAAATTTGGATTATTATGAATTATATTTATTAAATTATTTTTATTTCTTCATAATTATTTTTGAAAATAAATTTACATGGTCGAGACAAAATAAAAGCTTTCAAAGTTAAGATCTAAATTGGGAAAGTGCGTAGTGATAAGTTGTCGTGATTGCAGGCGAACGGCGGCAATTAGGTTTGCCAGAGCCGTCGTCATATATCTGTCGAGCGATAACAATGAAAGGGTCAAAATAGAGCAATATAAACTGAAATAGAACGAATAGCGCGTGCAATAAAGAAGGGACGGGGCATCAGCTTTTCTTTTATTCGCTTTATTTCTCTCTCGCCCCCAATTCGGTTAGTTTTGCCGATTCGATTTGCTCGGGGAAAGGCCTTCTGGAACAACATGCGCGCCTTTGTTTGCAGCAACACTCTCGTCAAGACCAAATCATCTCCGCGCTGCTGTCAGCAAATAAGCACACAACAACCCCAAGACCTGCGCTATAATACAGTTTATGGCCCAAAAAAAGGAAGAAAAGGGAGCAAAGAATCGTTCCGAAAGCAGAACTAACATTCTTGTGTTGAAAAAACGCGCATGAACGCTGCTTGGGAAAGGAGAAGATAATGATTTTCAGAACGATTCTTGGAAAATTTCATAATTTCTCTTGCAGCTATGATGGGGAAAGGGTTTCTTTCAAAGGATGGCCGCAAAACCATTTATTATGACACTTGGGTTTTTTTCCTGGAAAAAGTTATCAGTTTTCTATGCAGATTTAATTTCTGACATGTGAAAATTTTGGAGCATGATTAAAAATCATTGTTACTTGACTACTAGGCTCAGTTGAAAACTGCCAAATTTCCAAAGAAAGGAAAAAAATTTTAAATCAAAATTTAGTGATTTTCAGCTGTCTCAAAATAAAAAAAGTCGTAAAGTATACGGAAAAACGGTATATTTTTTTATCTTGAAAGTTTTAGTAAAATCTTTTCCAGTGGTGGTGCCTTCTTAAATCCACAGCATTTTTTCTATCAAAAGCACAATAAATTTACGTAACCATTGGGACAAATCATCATAAATAATGCCAATAGTTAAGTAGTCAGCGAGTAATTTTTCTTAAATGATTTGTTGAAGTTTGTTTTTATATAACCTTATTATTTCGTTAAACCGCGTTTTGTATTTATTTTTCAAAATTTTGTTGAAATAAATATACTATATACTTTGAAAATTTCTAATTGATGTAATGATTTTGTGGTTACAGTATAATATATATACCATTAATTATTATAACAAGAATACTTCAAAATTCAAGTACCAGCATCAATTATTAAAACATGATTTTTTTTTCAATTTTGATTTCATCATTTGTTGTTATTTATTTATTATTTGTTTAATTTTTAAAATCCAGTATAGTGCGCAAAATTTGAAAATTTATATTAAACACAATAGTTAAGTAATGTAATTAATAATAAAATAAAGTTTTTTACTCAAGTTACATAGAGTGTTTCTATATTTAACCTTAACAATCATATATTCATTTTGTAATTTTGAGCAAAAGTTTCACATGTGAAACTCGATTCTTGATTCCGCAGCGTTTTTCTTCACTGCGCCCCATCACTTTTTTCATCATGATTTTGAAATTTTTCCTTAGTTGGAATTTCAGGGGAAAAGGCCCTGCCATAAATATGTTGTCTTCATAAGGGTGCTTTTGTGTTGGCTGATGTTTTGTACTGCGATGATTAGACCCTTATAGAGATGCCAACAAAAGTGCTTCAAAAATTCTAAGCATTTATTTTATGGTCTCCGCATTTTGTTCCCCTGCTCAATAAAACCCTAAATTTCATTAAAAGTCACGATTTCCAATGAACAAACAAAAGTTCAAATGAGCTTGAAAGAAGGGAAAAAAATCAATCAGCGTTGTAACTTAAAAAGCAATCAAACAAATCGAACCAATTATAATTTTTATAATGTTCCTTTCATTTTATTCCAATTATGGCCACTGGCATTCCTCTCCTGCTGTTTACAAAGAGGCACTTTTGTCGAAAAAATTTCCATCCCTAGCGATTGAAGGAGCATGATTGATTTCCGTTTGCAATTCAATTAAGGTGTGTCCAGCGTATTTGCTCAGCACTTCCTCTCTCTATCTTTTTCCCACTTGGCCCCATGCGGAGAGGAAAGGCCCCGATTTCATTTCTCTCTGCTGGACGTGCATATCCAATCAATAAGCCACTCGCGTGACAAAAGCTGGAGGAGCTCAAGGCACTCTATTTAAAATATAATTCGTCATGAGCGCGGCTTGATGGCCAATATTTGGACGTGAACCTTCTTTTACTTCCTTTGGCCTGAGGAGAGTTGACAATGGGGCAGTACCGTTGCAGGCGATTTGCTACTGAACTGACGTTCCCACACCGCATGACAAAAGACACGGAACCCTATTTTTTACTCGCTTACAACCATCAGTCACCTTTTTCTTTCGCAGGGCGAAAACCCTTAAAAGGCAGAAAGAACAGCCGAGTTTATTGCCAAATGTTGTTGACCCCTTTGAATTTACATTCTGCGGGTTGTTATTCCGAGTGAGTTTAACAACCCCGATTTATTGCTTTGCCCTCTGCGTGAACTCACTTGACCTTTTATATAAAAATAATATCCAATACCTTCGGAATTCAAAGCTAAATTCTTTCTTTGCGCTGGGTTTTTTTTAAGGGAAGCCCGCGTGATTATTAATTTTTCCATTAACGTTTATCTTTTCATAATTCTTAATTGAAACAACTCATCTTTTTTTTCACAGATTTTTTTCAGGATAGCTCGTCATATATAAACTTATATTTTTATGATTTGTTTTCGGACTACTTAAAACACACACACACACACACACACACACACACACACACACACACACACACACACACACACACACACACACACACACACACACACACACACACACACACACACACACACACACACACACACACACACTGCTTTTTAAAAAACAGACCTTCCGGCCAGCCTTTTTGTGCGCGCAGGGGGTATATCACAATCAAAAAGGCGCCAGATAACTTGTCTCCTTGTCTTCCGGTAAAAGCATCTGTGGGGTTGCATCAGCCCACCGTGTTCCCATTTTTACACAAAAACCGCATTACTTATTATATGTAACAAAAAACTCCTTAAAAAAGGTTTAATATAACAAGTTTTTTTTATAAAAA